TTCCAGCTATTTTTTGTTGTTGTTGTAGTTGTCAATGTTTAGCAGACTGGGGTTGGGTTTGAACCCGCCAGCCTCAGTGTATGTAGCCAGCACCCTAACCATTGAGCTCTGGGAGCTGAGCCATGAAAAAGTAATTTTTTCAAATGAGAAAGACATTCTGAAATCCTATCCAAAAATTAAAAATAGGCTACTCTACTATATCAACACATTGCCAAACTTAGAAAAAAAAATGGGAATACTGACTCTTAAAATAACTAAATAAGACTATGACTTTTAAGAGAGCCAGATGGTTAGTCTAAAATTCGTAGGTGATTTGAAGAGGTTTAGCTTCCTCCATTTCCCTTGAGAGAAAATTCTTTCATATTTATTTTAGTAAATCATAAGTAGTTTCTTAAAAATGTAGAAATGGATATATGCTTTGCAGCTAATAAAAGCCAAGCAATTAAACAGAGGTTTTATGGGCATCAAAAAAGCATCAACAAACAAAACTATTATCCAAACCAAACAGATAAAAACTAAAGTGATTATAACTAATGCTTCGTTATGAGCGTTTGATTTTAGGTAATGTAAGGGTATTTAACTCCATAGTAGAGAACAGGAAAGCTTTCCCTGAAGAAGTGAGTCTAAGGCTGAAATAAAGGGATAAGGGAAGAGGGAGAGAGAAGCTTTGCTTAGTGTGTAGAGAGAAGCTGCAAAGGCCTGGTGGCTGAAATAAAGAGTATTAATAGGAGCAGTTGAAAGATAGTCACAGAAGCTGTAGGAGTGAGAATGAGGAGAGTAGGGAGAAGCAATGGGGATTTGGTGGTCCATGAGGTGGAAGAGGAAAAGGAAGCCTAAGTAGGGATAGGATATTGATGGATTTGATTTTTAGAATACCAACAATGGAATGCCACCTAAAAGTTGGCAAGAAATAAAATCAGCAAGACTCAAGGATGGATCAGATGGTGAGCATAAGGAAGAAGGAGGAATCAAGTATGATTCTGAGCTTTCTGGCTTACACAATTTGGAAACAGTGCCATTCACTAAGGAAAGCCCAGAAAAGGACCAAGTAGGAGGGCACAAAGGAGACAGGGCAGGGACCAAAAGTTCAATTTCAGACATAATGAGTTTGAGGGTCTTTGAGAGAAAATTACATGCAAATTTTGGGGAGGCCTCAGTTGAAAAGACACATTTGTGCCTTTGCCTACTGGTGGAAACAATTAAACCATTGTTACCTTTGAGATAGTCCAGGAAAAGAACACAGAAAGAGAAGAAAAGTCCTAGAATCAAGCCTTGCAAAACTCCAACATTCAGTGGCCAGCAAAATGACCCTATTTAAAGTAAACAGAAGAGGAGGAGCCAAAAAAAGAGGGAAAAATAAAAAGAAATATAATTTTCTTTCAATAAAGTTATTAGATTAAAAATTAATGAGCAAAATCAATGACATTTAGTTTGAGCTATAAGACAGTTTGCCCTTCTAATTGTTTCTTTTTTTAATTTTTTTATTTCTACTAAATACAAAAGAATCCCAAGTCCCAACCAGAGACTGGGGAAAGCAATAAGCATTAGGTGCATTTCAGATAATCCCCAAGATTATTCTTCAGGTGGAGTATTAGAGCCAACCTTGCAGAGACATTGTTCCGTGAAGATTATGCAGAGCTCTCAAATTCTAGGTGGCTGAGCTTATCACACCCAAAAGTTGAAAGACTAGAAGTTTCAACTTGAGGAACGAAAAATGGATTCCTAATAATATTCTTTGGATATACTTGTTCTGGAAAGCATTTTTCTTATTTGGATGCAGAACTTGTATGTTAGACATGCCTAATAATATGTCATTGAGCCCTTTCTTCAATAACTAATGTGTAGTGAACTGCACAGTTTGGTCTGGTTCTCTCATCCTCAACTTTTAAACTATTGATATTTAGCTAAATATTAATATTATTGGTATCCCCTTGAAAAAAACTTGAATACCTTTTCCCTCAAAATCCATGGTATTCTAGCATCAATTATCCACACTGCATGCTGAAAAGACACAGTTCTCAATAGCTATGATTTTATGATAAATGCTGTTTTCAGTAATTCATTCAAAACCAAATCAAGATGAAAGGGATGTTGCTGACCACTAATTTCAAGAAGAATGATGGAATGTGTAATGAGGCATTAGGTATAATCTTATTTATTCACATAGCAGTATCATTCCTTACAGAATATTCCCACCCTTATTCTTCACAAAAGCCCCAATAGTATTTTCATCATTACTGACTAAAAGAAAACTTTTACAGTCTGTGCTACCTAGTCCACCAAATACCAATCCTCTTATCACTTAGGTTTTCATTGACCCACATAAGAACTGGTCAAATTTTTTTCTCCAAATGACCCATATACATGTGGCAAGAACTATATGGAAGAGCTAGTCAGCAAAAATTAGTTTTTTTTCGGCATAAAATGAAACATGTTATAAAGCACACATATGTGAGAGTGACTGATAGTTTAGCATATGTTCAACAGAGACTTTTGTTAAGTAATATTGCCAAAGAGCTTCTTCTGCTCTCTCCTTGATCAAAATATTTGACAATAATTTTGGGATTGATTTTACAAGTTTGCTTTCTTGATGATTTGCTAAGATACTGAATTCTGAATACTGCTGTAATGGTTCTGTTCACCTTAGTAACCAAATTCTTCAACATGACAAAGATAATTTTGCAGATGTTCTTAACAGCTTACCAGAGACATCTCTAGGCTTATCCAAAAACTCACTTTTGTGACATTTCACATAACAGATAACACACCAGACACTAATGGTAAAAGGATCATTCACTTAGTAAGGTCTAATTCTCACAGGTCAATTATTTAAGTTTTTCATACTTTTTCTGTTTGTGCAAAGTCACTGTCCTAGCACAGGGATTCACATTTTATGTAACCTCAGAGCAGCAGGCCTCTCTTATTTAACAAGACAATTCTGAGTAGTAGTAAGTCTTGTATTCTATTTCATTATAGGTTTTACTACTCAGGAAATCATTTCTGAACCATTACGTCATTTTGTGAATTGGGAATTGTAACACATCACAGTGAAATAATAAAAATGTTAGCAGATATAAACTGCAACCTGGTGATTATGAGCTGAGGTAGTTGAATACAACATTGTCATTTGTGCATAAACTAATGTGTCCAAGTTTCAAAACCAGTGGAATTTCTGAGAAAATGACAATTAATCTCACATTTCAAATTCATGAACTATGAACAAATATTGCTTTGCTGTTTTTCCTTTTCCTTCAACATTACGAAGCTGCTTAAAAGATCTCCAGGGATCGTCACTACGTGGACAATCCTCCAAAACACACTCCAAAGCCTGGGACTCAATGCTTTGAAGAGGAAGAAATAAATATGTCATCAACCTTAAATACTTTTTTAAACAGTGACAACTCATTAAACTGGATTCCACTAATTTAAAATATGTCATACAAATAACATGAGTATATTATATGAGCAACGTTGAAGCCAATGATGCTTAACAATTCTAAAGACCAAATTGCTTTTAAGAACTTTGTACTTTAGAAGACAGTTGGCATATCAAATTTAGATTCTTTTAAATATCTATCACTGATGTTGGCAAAGGAAGGCAATATTGTCTATAAATATATTTATATAGAAGAAGATAAAAGAAGATCAGCTTAAATTCAGGTCAAACCAGAATAACATTTAACCAAACACTTCTGGAGATGAGATTAACCATCAATATAAATGTAAATTATTTTTAAAACGATACATAGTGGCTACATTAGTGAATCTTAATCTTTTCACAAATTAAAGAAAACAATACTGTATCATTTTTATATGCCTATTTGGAAAAACAACATTATCAGTGAGATTAGCAGATTTTATAACAGAAATTACTTGTCATCAAGTACACATTTTTGCTATTTAGATAAATAAAACAACATTCAGCTCCATGTTCACATCTTTCAATAAGCATGAGGTTGGTTATACAACATTCTCTGCTCCCCCTTGGAAAAGACAGAGTGGGGATCACATTACTATGTATCTAACTCAGCACAACAGTCCTGAGTGTTCTAAATGCCATTTAAAATTACTCAATTTACCAGAGTAATAATCACCACTAAATCCAATAAAAGTGGAAAAATTGGGTGCGCTATGGAAAGAGCCACTGGGTACAATTATGCAGTCTGTGCATTTTAAAAGGATTCTTAGCACATAGATGGGCAAAATCTGTCCCAATGTGGCTCTAGCCCAGTAAAAAGCAGCATCTTGGTAACTCATTAGACTAGGGAGGATTCCTTTTTGTTATTCACACAAATGAATCACAGTTAACAGAAAGAATGGTGCTAGAAGAAAAGAATTTCTTCCAGAAGAGTTCAGAATATACTATATCTCACATTCACAGAAAAATCAGACTCCAGCAAAACTTTCATGTTCTTCCTGAGCAGAAATACCAGTGCTATGAAGCTATATTGGTTATCAAATATAAAAGGCATCTCAGGTAAGTACAAATAAACATCTCTAAGAAGGAATATATAAAAATAAACTGAGATATCTGGCAATGAGACATGTGGGGAAAAAAGTTTTGATATAATAAACTCTAATTTCTGATTTGCTAAACGCATAGCAAAAATAGTTAAACACATCATACTAAAAACCGACAACAGGTAACACCTTGAACACTAGTGGTAAGTGGATTGATTATTCATTTAATAAAGTCCAGTTTTCAGATGTTAATTCTGAATACTTGAAAATATTTTAATATTTCAAATCTCAAATATTTTTAAATATTTGGCACAAAGTTTTATTTTTCTGAATTAAAAGAGACAAATTCTTTCATACGGTGCATACATTTAAGCAGTTTTCAAATAATTTAGTAAGTCAAAACAGTATGTTTTATATCATTTTTTCCTACATATATTGGTGAAATGTAATATTATATCTAGTAGGAAATTTATGATAACTAACTTTAAAGGACAGTATGTATTAATGAAAAACTCATATTCTAATTGATTATTGTCAAATTAATTAAATACCTTTTGTAGACTGGTAGGATTTAGCTGGGTTTTGTCTATTATTTTCACAGCAACCTAAAAAAAGGAAACATTAAATTATATTGAAAATATATATTTTCATAAATAAAAACTTACAAGGAAAATGTTTTTTTGTTTCATTCCTAACAAGATATAGCTCCATTTGAGGGTTCACATAATCACATAGTAAAGTTTTGATAACTTGGTAGCCTTGGAATATACTCCATTGACTTAAGTCTTTAACCTATTTGATCTTGAGTCAGTTAAATGAAGCCTTTATTTCTTCCAAGTTTTCCTTTTTAAAGTAAAAATCATCCTGTATTATAATCTTTTACTTATGATCTTGATAAACAATAATTATAGGGAGAAATGGCTTTTAAACTTGTTAAGTACTATGTGAATAAAATGATTGAGTAGAGAGACTGGATACCCGAGCTTACTTATAGACAAACTGACAAAACGGATTTGAATATCTAAGGCTCTTCCAAGTATAGCCTATGTCTGAATGGCTCCTAGGGTCAGAACTGACAGAAAGAATGAAATTCAATGGGAAATGACAACAATATTATGTATAGAGCAAAGTGAAAACTTACTAAAAACATTTCATGGTTGAGATTTTTTTACAATGTCCTTATCAGATACATTAAACATTATATAATAAAATATTAGATGCTTATTTAAATAAAGTCATTAACCCCAATGTACAGATAGGTACATGGATATACATGTATATGTTTTATACATATGTGCAGTATACACACATACTATACACGTATGTGCAAATATATAAACTTTTACTACATAAATGTACATAGTTTAAAACACATGCATGGGATTTTAGAAATCCAACATAGTCTCTAAACAAATAAACATAAGTGGGTGGGTGACTTTCTACATATTTACACCTGACTTAAGCAGCAATTAGTAAGAATTTATCCTACCTTACTGGGTAGCTATGGTGATCAGAAATGTTCACAGAAACCATACAACGAAAGTCAGAAGCCTAAGGAAAATTCACTTACCCCACACCTCATTTATAAGGAATGTTAACACACAGGGCTGATTCTTTTCTCAATGTTAAAAGGTTAACTTTTATGTCGTGATATAGCTCTACCTAAGAGTCTTCCATTCACACATTCCCCAGTGTTGACACATTGCTACTGTCACCTATCCCCTACATCAGCTACAGAAAAGCTTTTTAACAAGACTCCAGATAAGTATAGGCAAATATTAAAGGTGTCATGTAAACTTACCTCTCTACCAGTTAGAACATGTCTTGCCAATTTCACTTTGGCAAAATTTCCCTTCCCTATTGTTTTTTGTAAACGGTAATTTCCAATGTGAGGCTGTTCATCTGTGGCTGACGTAATGGAGTTTCTACACCGGGGGATGTTCTGTCTGCTACTTGACTTGGTAGGCTGGATGTGTGGTTCAGTATATCCATCCACAGATGTATGCTACAAAAAAGGTTACAAGATTCATTGTTAATTTACAAAAGGAGAATCAAAAAGCCTGACAAATAGTTCAGCTTCAATGAAAACTGCACTACATGATTTTAAAGTCTGAACATTCTACTCATAATTTCTTCTTGACGTCAGCTCCCTTTACCACTGGTAGTATAACTATTTAAAATGAAATATGCTACATAGCTTTAGGTATATGCCTTTGAGTAAAAACTGCACATGGAGAGATAGCCACGGGCCCCACAGACCATTATTCCTGTAAGGGTGTTCCCCCTCTGGATTGGGATGACGGCACAGTCCAGGCCTGCTTCAATGGGCACAATGTCTTTATTGCAAAGACAAACAACCTCATGAGCACAGTTCTGTTTCTCTAAACTGCCTTGCTACTTAAAATGTTCTCGCTTCCATTTTAGGGGCATGTAACTTGAACAACTGACCAACAAGCTCCCTTCTTCAAGTATACCTCTAACCAATTCCTGTTCAACCTCCTCCCCCAGCTTACCATGCCCAAATGAGAGCCACCCTTAGCCCTGCCTGGGTCCATGGCCTAACATTAATTGCATTAGTGCTCTTAAGTTGTCACTTTGTCTCAGAATCGTACACTTGCTATGAAGAGCTGATCCCATTAACCTGTGGGCTCAGCACCTGGTGTCCCCGGTCAAGCTGCCAAACCAACTCTGTTTCACTAGCTCTGACTTTTCCTGCTCTTCTCTAGTTTTGTCTATATTCTAACATACATAAAATTTAAAAAGTTTTTGTGGAAAAAAACAGAAACAGCTTTCTCTGGTCTCTTAAAAACTAAATGAAGATAAGTAAAACAAATTAGCAAAGGAAGGTGTAGACATGTTGTCCTACCCCTATGAACAACAGCTTGTCTAAAACATTTTGATTGAAAATTTCTTAAAGGAAACATTAAAGACTAATTCATTTACCAGTCTCATTCAAAGCATGACACAGGGTCATTTTTCTATTTGTTATTATTTTGTTTTTTTATGATAAAGTTTTAAAAACTCACCTCAGAACCAAGGGTTTTCTCGGGGCCTTACACATACCTGCAGCCTTAACTTCCTTCTGAGTTTAGATGCCCCTCTGGCGTATTCTCATAGCAACTGTATTACCATGTATCGCAGCATCCACTCCATTCTACTATCACTATATATTTACTCGTCTGTCTCCACCATGCTACCATGTGCAATTGTAAGGCAGGGATGTTTTCTTTTCATCTTTATATACTTATCACATTGCAAAGTGCTAGATACATGAAAAGGTCAATAAATCAATAGTTTTCAAAGTGTGATCGCTACACCAGCACTATCAGCATCATTTGGGAACTTGTTAGAAATGCAAATTCTCTGATCTGGTACCAGATCTACTGAATCAGAAACTCTGGGGGTAAGGCTGAGCAATCAGCATATCAACAAGTCCCCCAGGTGACTCTGATGAATGCTGACATTTGAGAACTACAATTAATAATGTAAGAAGGAGCAAAACATAAAGTTATTCACTGGCTCTTAGAGACATTTCTATTGTCTGGGCATAAACAAGAGATTTTAATTATAGCTCTTAATTTCAAAGCATTAACAGACTGGCATAATATTACCTACAAACAATACTTGTCTACTTGAACTTCCTCAGGGAATGCTGACTTGTTCATCCTTCAGGATTATAAGAATGTCTCCTACTCAACAAAATTTTTTCTGTCTTTTTGCAAAGCAGAGTTAATTACTCCTCTCTTTTGTTGCCACCTTTATATCCCCTATACTTCTACTATAGGAAGTATCACACCATCTTCTAAGAATTTGTTCAAGTCTGTTTTTGTTAGACTTGAACTGCCTAAAAACTCATAACTTAATATAGCATTAGGCATAAAGAAGCCCTGCAATACATATTAATCATTGTTAAGGGATTTAGGGCCCTCAAACTCCTGTTACACACATAGAATGGCTTGGAAGGAATGATTCCATGCTGTCCAGATCTTTGATTCATATAAAAGCACTATGAGTTAAAATACTTGAGTTTTAACCCAGGTCCTAATGCTGGTTGTAGACTACATCCTGCTACGAAACCACACTATGATAGACTGCACTACTAAACTCAAATTTTCTTTTCTTCTCTCTCTTTTTTTTTTTTTTTTTTGAGACAGAGTCTTACTTTGTCACCCTTGGTAGAATGCCATAGCATCATGGCTCACAGCAGCCTCAAACTCTTGGACTCAAGCAATCCTCTTGCCTCAGTCCCAAGTAGCTAAGACTATAGGCACCTGCCGCAACACCTGGCTATTTTTAGAGATGGGAACTCACTCATGCTCAGGCTGGTCTCAAACTCCTGAGTTCAAGGGATACGACTACCTTGGCCTCCTAGAGTGCTGGGATGGCAGGCATGAGCCACCATGCCCAGCCTTAAACTGAAATTTTCACTCCCTTCACCACACGACTTTCCAGTATCTTCCCACTTAGACAGACATACTTCACCACTCTTTGGGTTCAGTCATATGATTTTCTTTGGCCAATAGAACAAATTGAAAATGACAGTATGCAAGTCACATGCCAGTCTTCAGGAGACCTCGTTGTGTTTCAGCATGTTCTCTTAAACATCTGACATCACCAGGAGAAGAACTTGCACAGGCTGATATCAGGAGGAGGATGAGAAATATACAGCCACTCTCAGTTGAGTTTAGGTTTATTAACTGATCCCCAGCTGATCTCTGAATCATGAGAAATATGAATAAATGGTTGTTGATTTAAGCCACCGATTGTTAGGACAATTTGTTATATAGCAATGTCAGCTAACACAAAGCCATCACTATTTTAAAATGAAATCCAGGCATGGTGGTGCATACCTGTACACTTAACAACTCAGGAGGCTGAGGCATGAAAGATCACTTGAGCCCTGGAGTTCAAGTCTAGACTGGTCAATATAGCAAGACTGGTCTCTAATAAAAATAGAACAAAATAAATAAAACGGTAAATATAAGAGACAAGAAGGAAAACACTAATGAACAACTGAAAGATTATCAGACATGTTTAAATTCTAGCAGTCTGCAAAAAGATAAAAAGGGAAAGAATAAAGAAAAGGAAGCTAAATGATAAATTCCCTAAGGAGAAACTCTTATTTATAAGCTGTACAGGGGCAGATTCCTTGAATGTTTTGTATCCCACGCACCAAATATGGTATAACACAGAAATAAGCAAAAACTTCTGGAGAATATACTACGTATAGGCTATAGTTAACCAACTCCTGGCGTCACACATCCCATTTTGGGATACAGAATTAAATTATTTTTGGTCGATTCTTTTTTTAACAGAACCTCTAGCTCTCAACATTGAACATGATTATGAGTTATCCAACTTACACAGAATATACTAGGTGAGTCAAATTATAAACAAGGATACACAAAACTTGTTTTATATTATATAGTTGATTATACAATGTCTACTAAAGCAAATATTTCAAAAAAATCTTATCAATCCGAAGGAAAAGTATGATTTCTTAGGATCTTACCCCTCCCTCATCAACAGCTTAATTCTCAAATAGAAAACTTGGCAAGAATATGAATTCAATTCATACTAAATTAAACAATGAATTTAATACAGAACTACCTTAACCCTTAGGCTGTTAGTTATAAGAAATTATGCTGGCTCATATGAGTTTTAGTTTCACCTTGAGCTGAAAATACAAATTCAAATCCTGTCACACTCTTTTTTCAAGTTGTCCACTCGATCTTGTAGACTTAGAATTCTTTCATCTTTCTGCAGCAGTGACATGACCTTAAGTGTACAGCCAAGTCAGAGTAATCATAGACAGTGGTTTTATTAGCTCTTCAACATTGTATCCCACTGACTACCAGACTCCAATTCCTGAGTGATAAGAAATTTTCCCTGTCTTTAATACCAGTGGGAATGAAGTTCTTCCTCTCGCTAGCTATGAATCCTTGGGCAAGTTATTTAACCTTTATGTGACTGTTTCCTTATCTGTAAAATAGAGCTAATAATAAAGCCTGCCTCTTTACCTCAGAACTATCTCAGGTCATTCTGAGGATTAGATAAAATAATTTATGTAAAGGTGCTTAACACTATACAACTGTTTGTTAATTAAAACCATACAAACAAATAAAGAAACAAAAATATCCCACCGCCTAGGCCAGATAACCAATCCCACTTCCCTGAGTGTTGCCTGCAACCACTTCTGGTACCTTCTAAGCACGTTTACATCTGCAAGCAACAGAAACCAACTGAGGCTAGCTTAAAAGTAGAAAAGGAATTTTTTGAAGTCTACTGGTAGCTGAAAAAATCCTGATGGATGAAACTGGTAGTCCAGTGAAAGAGGGCAAGAATGTATAAAAAGCCAAAATAAGATAATTATACTTGGTCATAAAGACTAACAATGAAATAAAATAAGGTGACATAACAGAGTGGTGGCAGGGGGTGAATTAAGTGCTACTTTAGATCAAATGGAATAGATGACATTTGATTTGGACATAAAAATTGACAAGAACCTAGATACACACAAGAAGAGCAAGCACTCAGGTAGTAAAATGAATACATAGGAACAATGTGAGGTAATAGAGTGTTCGATAAGTTCAGAGAATAAAACTAAACAAGAAAATACTAAGTTAAACAAAATATCTTTTTCAAAGACCTACATCTTGAAAATTCAAATTTTACACTATTGGCATTCAAACGGTTTTAGTCACAAATACAAATCTCTGCATATCTGACCACACCACGTCATATTTAAAAGGCAAAAAAAAAGTGCAGCTTGGCTGTCAGGTAACAAATAAGTAAATCAATGAACAAATAAATTAACAAACAAATAATAAAGAAGAAAAATCAGTTAATAATAAAAGACATTTCAATCTCACTATCTAATTTTATCCCGGGTGTTTCTTTGCTTTTACTTGAAACAAACTTTTTAAATCAAGAGAAAATCAGGCTAGGACTAGGATTTCTGCTTTCCTAATTTTTTTCTATATGAAAAGAGCAGTATCTTAGTTGGGTAACTAACGAATAGTCTAGAAGGATAAAAACTATCATTCTTCTTATTATGTGTTACAGGCTATATTAAATGTTTTACATATATTATCTCTTTTATTCTTCATAATATTTCAATCAAGAAGCACATCACAATGATTCCCATTTTATGGCTAAGGAAAATATGGCCCAGAGAGGTTATATGCCATTAAACTCTAACTCCTCTGCTATTAATATAATTATCAATTAAAGTATATATGTACATTGCAGCAGGTTGTGTTCTACATGGAATTTATATCTGTGCATTCTTTTCCCTGGATTAAAAACAACAACAACAACAAAAACAAACAACAAACTACTAGACATAACTTTATGTTACTGACATTGACAAACTGTATAAAGACCATCTAGAAAGTTAGTAACTTCCAAGCATAACATTGGCCTGAGAAAGCCACATTAACAAAAAATACATTTCAAAAGCAAAACCAAAAACAAACTGGAGGGCAGAGCCTGTGGCTCAAAGGAGTAGGGCGCTGGCCCCATATGCCGGAGGTGGCAGGTTCAAACCCAGCCC